TGGGTAAGAATGAAATGCTATCTGTTTAAAGGTCCTATATTACGCAAAATTTACTCTTGTGAGTTTTAAGCCATGTTATATTGTTGTTACCTCATCAAAAACATACCTGGAGTTGTGTTTTGTTTCATTCCTACATGTTTTAGTAATGCAGCATTATTAGTTTGTCGAACTCAAAAGGCTCTGTTCCACCTTGTGATGTCATGTAGTGGTACTTTTCAAGTTAAGAGAAAGGGCCAGTCCAGTCCAGGAATTGAACCCAGGACCTTCTTGCTGTGAAGCAAGACTGTGACACACTTTGATATGAGAGTCTGACATATGCACACAAAGAATAACCGACCAAAATATGAGTCATAAATGTACATTTTGCTAAATTACTAAGGCCTTATTCACGTACAGAGCCAAATTTCAGTGTGATTCATCTGGTAAAATGTTTACATTGCTTTCAGATAAATGGGTAATTTGCTGTTCTACTTAAAAATGTGTTGCTATCAGCTTTTTACTCTTAAATAAGCAGCACAGTGGATCCTTGTAATTGGATTCAAAATGACTCGGTTCTGTGCATTCATCAATTTGCAGAAAATGTGAAAAGAAGGGACATTTCTCCTGAGACTGTACTGGGAAAGTGCTGCCATTGAAAATAAATGAAAGTTTGACACAAGCGCTCTTATTAGTCATTTTGATCAGTTCACGAATCATTCACCTGACCTCGTGGCCTCAACCTTCACACTTGATAGACTTTGGAAATGGACCAATCATATTGACGGATGCCGAAGCAGGCCTGCCGGAGTGGAGCCGCTTTTAATAAAAAATCAGATGGAGAGAAGCACTGAGCTGTATTGCATTCACATGAAAAATTAGGTTTAATACATTTTAAATGGCACTGTGCTACAATGGGAGCGGAAGCAGGAGTGGAGGAAGGTCAACTGTGATACAGAGTCGTGATATGTGATATTTAAAAGACCTTTAAAGCACTAAAATGTTAAATAAAGTAGGAGCCCACCAGGGACCTTTTGGCCTTAGTCTCAAACATTATTATTATTTATCTTTAAAGAACTAAAGAAGATGGTTCAATAGGCAAAATGTGCATTAGGTCTCATCAGAGTTACTGTGGTTGGGTATTATACTTTTGGGTTGCATTTTGGAAAATTAAAAACTAAATTTTTTGCTCTAAATTTCTCAATAAGATGACATTTCAGAGTTCCACAAGTGCATTGGCAGGGTCATTTAGTCCGGTGTTAATTGTTCTAAAATCATGAAAAATCTCATCTTATTTCTCACTTGAATCCACAAAAATACCATTTTTATTCTAAAACTCACAAAACTCCTGAACTGAAATTTAAATTAATATGTGACTATTTATAACAAGTAATTACCGGGGATGGGACAAGATGTCGTGCCACAAGAAAGATTTTTAAGACTGAAAATTATTTTGTGAGACTTTTTATCCATGTTTTTAGGTTTGGCTTGGACAGAAAATGTTTAAACTCTGGCGAATTATGTTTTGAGAAGTTCTATCTTCTACAAAGACAACTAAATTATAAAATAGCTAAAAAATGTTAGACCAAAATTGTCAACAGATTCACATTATTCATATATTATGTCAAAATTTTGTCTCACTCTCGTGGACTCAATCTTACGTCATGTCCCTCATAATTACACTGCACGATTTAACTTATTTGATGTGTGACTCACTGGTCATTTCTACAGCCACATGCAGGCAGAGGTTGTACAGTGACCCAGAATAACTATCTCTCCCGTGGTCAGATAAATGGGCCTAGCGTCTCTGCCACATCGCGGGTTCCTCTCAGGCCATCGCAGCGGGTCTTTTCCATGATGAAACACAGGGGCACAGGGGCTAAGGGAGTGGGCGTCGGGACACTAACACTTTCTCCTCCAGCGCCACGGCAACAGCAGGACCAGATCTGGAGAGCTGGCACCGATATGGCATCCATACCTCAAGCTCAGCCAACACAGCATGAATTCTCGCCTGCTTTGCAAACTCAGGCGTCCCCATCTCTCTTTGTGACTGCTTCTAATCTAAAAGAGCATATGCAAGATGTAAATAATTGCCGCCAACTGCTGATTTGCATGGTAACAACAGACAGCTTGTGTTGGAGATTTTATAACCGTCCTGGGGTGCTGTTTTTGATGATGGCGGTACTAAGGATTCTAAGGGTTCTCAAACTGCAGGGTGGGTGTCACAGTCACTAGAAGAACTCAGTCAGCGCCCGTTGCGAGAATGCAGATTTGAATATCCGAGGTTTTCACAGTGATAAAGAATGAGGACAATTTAAAACAGACTACCGTATGTTATCTTTTGGATGGTGAAAAGTCCTCAAAATGTCACCTATAACAGGGTGCTAAAACTCACATAAATGGGCAATATAATTAGCAAATTACAAAAGCTGTAAGTAGCTTATATGTCAACTTAGAGATAGGGATACACCAATTCAGTTTTTTCAGTTACGATTCCAATAACTACACTATAGTTTTCTCTCGATATCTGATTTAAACTGATACCAGAGCAGAGACTGAAAAACATATTTAATAAAATAAGACACAACTGACTCAATGTGTTATGAAGCTGTTATTTATCACTCAAGTAACTACAGAACTATTCTGTATACTGTAAAGTATTAAAGATTGTATGGAGAATTTTTTACGGCAAAAGAAATACAGTGACCGTCCTTTTTCAAATGTTGTGCATGCGTGACACCACCTTCCTCCTCCACAGCTCCCTCAGTAGAAACATCTCCTCCCGCCTCGTTACTCTAGAAATCACATTTGTTTACAGCCAGTGCGGATTCAGAATTACTGTTGAAGTGATCTGTCTAGAAATAATTTAGCGACCGGCGCGTCAGTTTTTAGACCCTTCGTCTGCATCAGTCGCGCCATCGCTGGAACAGATCTCCAAGAATCATCTCAGTCTGGCTTTGCTCCTTTTCCCCTTCTCTTCTTTTTTCAACGACCTCAAAAAACTGACTTTCTTCTGCGGCGAACTGGTCATGGATTCTCATCCAACATCGTGGCAAATTTGTGCGAACTGTGAGGAAGCTACAGTTTGAAAAAGCCTCTAAGAACCGTTGCATAAACCACGTAATCCCCGCGCGCCAGGAAAGAATCACTTACACTAGAAACGTAAGGAATTTTATTAACAACCTAACAGCCAATAGAAAATGAGGTAGTCTTGTTTTCTATTGGCTGATGTTTATCTGGCCTCACAATGTCCACAGTTGATAGATTTTCATTCATTTTTTTTTTTTTTGTCACCATAATTACAAGGCTGCTGCTTTTCTGTAATGGTATTTTAAACTTTCATTAACAATTTGAAACAAAAAAAAAAAATCTTCCATACAACCTTTAAGTGTAAAGTATAAAGTCCAAACTTTATAAGATTTTCTGGGCTAACTACAACCAGTAAAAAGTCTAATTACATACATTTATATGTGCAACCAGGATATCGACTGAACTATTTAGAAGTTTTCCCTATCAGCACCAACTTCAGATACTAGTAGTGGCTTGGTGCAGCCCAGTTAGAGAATTAAATAAATTGTCTCTGCAGGGTCTTATGCAATGGATGGAACCTGTTCTGAAACCCATGGGATTCATGGTTTAGATTCACAGTTAGATTTTTTTTAGAACATCTTGAAGACTACAAGCTGCATTTAAAATCTAAACAGAATTTTTAATACATAAACCACAAAGCTAATAACAAATGCTGTACTTATTTAAAAAAAAAAAAAAAAAAAAAAAAAAACATTGCCTTTTCCAAAATAATGCAGCCCTAGTTTAGATCATGTTTAGATCTTGTTATGTTCTGATTTTGACCTGCTTAGTCCTGGTTTAGGGATGTAGTTTAGTCTTATTATAGCCCTGCTTTAAGTCATGGATTCATCATAGTTTAGTCATTTCTATCTAGTTCCAACATAGCTCAGGACCAGCATATGAAAGCAATTATTTTACAAAGTGTAAAAAGTTTTTGAGGATGTAAAAGCTTTGAGGTGTGATATTCAAATAACTATGAATCGTCTAGCGTTAGCCTTAATTGTAGCCAGCAGTGGACGTGTAGACTAGAGTTTGTGGGTGAAGCTGTGAGGAGGCAGACCGTAGCCTCTCCACGCTTCTCTCTTAGTCTAATGAGCTGGAAGTATGATGAACAAAGGCAGATGGCTTCATGACTCACACAATAAGGCACACATCATTGAAAAGATGTCACTCATGGCTGTTTAAAGCTGTTGAGATGTTTGTCTTGCTTCGCTGTATCAACACAAGTTCATCTCCAAGGCACTAAGCGGCTTTATCAACTGAATTAAGTGAATTTTCAAAGCTTAAGAGAGAATACACATTTGTAAAGCATATAAGCTCTTCTTTCATGAATAAAATTATCATCCTAGATTTTATATTTAGAACTAAAAGGAAAACAAACACAATACAACCACCTGAGAGTCATATATAGGTGCAATAATCTTTTTACCAGGCAGTATTATGGAAACTATAGGCAATGTTTTAGGTGACATTTTAGGGACTTTTCAAAGCAGCTGCTTTATCATTTTTTGTGTTTAATAGTGATTTGAACTTTAATCAAAATTTTCATCATTCTTAAACCCATATCCTACTCTAGCCAAGAGTAAATAAATAATGTATCTATTGTGATCATTAAAAAAAATCCTCCATACGCACATAAAAGAGCTGTAGGGAGCACAGACTGAGAGGCAGAGGCGCGCTTCACCTGTAAATCACCTGTCCCTCAACAACACTCCATCATCGTTCCAAAACAAGCCCAAGTCTGATCGCACTGTGCAAGACCGTATAGTGAAAGTTACCCACTGCTTGAGCTGCTTTAATCCGGGCACAGCGCACGGCAGGACGGAAGCCTTTGGAGCAAGCGCACGCTCTTGAACATTACGCACGGAGCTCAAATAACGCAAACATACAAGAACATAAGCTACAGCCTCTTCGCCTTCTCTCCCTCCATCACCGACAAGTGCAACAGTACTCACCCCCAGTTTCTTACTCCGTATCCTCACGTATCCCTGCTTGACTATGTCGTTGAAGTTAGAAGCCATGCTAGCTTCCCTTTTGTCCACTGAGGAAACAAATAAGTCTTCCCGATGGGTGAAGTCTTGTATCACTTGAAGATCGTCCAATGCGACATCCAGCGGGAGAGCAAAAGGAGCGGCGAGGAGGAGCGGCCAGCCCCCGTGTCAGCGCTCACGCTCAGGGCTGCCCGGCTTCAGCGGCTCGGTCCATCCGCCGGAGGAGGAGGAGGGAGATACCATTGAGCTGATTCACGAGAGCAGAGAGAGGAGAGAGCATGAGAGACGCGCGCTTCCTGGACCACACCATCCCAAACCAGGCGGGGGGGAGGGGGTGTCTGGAGCATGGGGTACAGTGGGTGTACAATGTATCAAAGATAGCCTAGCAGCACGACTGAGCCTTGTTACATAAATCAGAATATATTTAGAGATGTGGCCTAAATGTTATTCTAGTAGCTTGGATGTTGAGACTATCTGTTTCTCTTTCAGTTCACTTAAGTTTGTAAAATAATTGTTTAGTTAGACTATGAAATATTTACTCTACTCAAGCTGTTATAGTGTAGATGTTATTCCTTACAGTGTTCATATGACATTAAACATCCTGTCTTCATGCAGCAGGACGTGATGGAATCAGGCCAAGTTACAGGTCAGTGAGGTGACCCCACTCACAGTAAAAATGCACCTGAAATTAGCAAAGCACTAAAATCTCCATGGAGACAACAAAAGTAACATGCAACTTTAAAGGTCCTATATTACACTAAATTGACTCTTGTGAGCTTTAAGCCATGTTACAAAGCTGTTACCTCCTCAAAAACATACTTGGCACTCTGCACTCTGTCAGGTTTTTTATTCTTTTATACTCGCCATTTTGCTGTCCTTAACTGCACTACAGTACTCTGCTCGTGTTGACTGTCACTGTTTGATCTCGAGCTTGTCAGGTGACAAAAATTTGGCCACAAATGCGACTGCAAATGTAAATATACTACATAATTATTTTATATTATAAATACTTCATATAAATATATTTTTTTATTGAAAAACTCAACAAAATACAAGATGTGTTATTATTTGCTAAAAATATGACATGATATGACATGACATCTTTTGAGTCCCTCATGGGGCCAAGTAAGTAAGTAAGTAAGTCGGCCCAAGAGCCTTAGTTTGATGACCCCTGCTTTAGGCCTTAGTTTGTCTACAACTTAAAATGCTCTAAATCTACCTTGTGATGTCATGAAGTGGCACTTTTTAAGTTAACAGTTGTAACTTTAGTTTTAGTTCACTAGATGTTGGCAATTCCAGGGCTGAAATTATCCAGATAATTCTACTGAAGGTGTATAGAGTTCAAATACACAGTGAAGTACTTCCTGTATTACCACATGACATTAGAAGTGTTTTCAGTTTGGTCTGATTATGTAGCATTTGTGTTAAACATGTGTGAATGAAACCAAACACAGCAGGTATGTGCACAGGTATGTTTCTGATGAGGAAACATCATTATAACATAGATCAGAAAATATTGTACTATGGGCCCTTTAAAACATTAGTTAAGTTAAAAAATCATCATAAGAGTTTTGCTACTTATTTGCACCATAGCTGATTTTATTGTAATGATAGATTCAGCTGTTTATTTTGTACACTTTTCTCCAGTCATATAACTATTATTATATATTTTTGCTCTGAGCACATGCTCTTATTACTCTTTTTGATGATTTAATTCAGATCCCATTAGCAGGTGCAGGAGGGGTACTCCATCACCCAATGTTTACACTCAATATGTCATACTAGACTAGTGCTTGTAGTAATATTGATGTATTTTTAAAAACTGTAGCCATCAGTCAAATACTATTCCCCCTTGCTCCTTTCTCCATCAAAGCAAATATGCAAATGTCTACTGGGGCTTTGTGTTCAGACTAATTTGAAACACACTTTGTACCTTGCCTTTTGGTTATTACCTGTCTAAGTATGAATCTCATTTCCATATTTTTACCAGAGTCGCTAATAAGGAAGTATAATTTTAGACAGCTCCCATGTTTTCTCAAGATTTAACAACCCGGAAGTTATGTTACTTGATTAGTGTGGGGAAATTATAGAGGCTATACTGTTTCATTTAAAACCTCAGAATCTGGGCCCACAAAGCAGATGGCGAGTGTGTTGATACCATAACCTGTTATTACACATTTTTGATTAAAATTCAGAGAAAAGCGATGGCTGCTTATGTAATATAGTTACATAAAAAATTGTAGATTAGGGGATCAGACATGTTTTGCTGTCTTCACACGTTTTTCATTCACACAAAAGCTGCTCAGACTAGACCAGATTTCGGTTGCTAAATTCAAACACATATCCCACCCAGACTGCATTTGTTACCAGTTTTGTACCTGTTAATTTATATATTTCATTATTTTGCAGATGGTAAGATAAAAACTGTGAGGGTTGCTACATTGGGATTTTCTGCTTTGTGAAATGACAGTCTGTCTCGAGGAAAGACGTAATCACTATATCTTACATAATTTTTTAACGCAATACAATAGTTTTCAATACAAACTGTGAATTTCCCCTTCAAATATTTTGTTTTCATATTCCATGTTGTTCATATAAGATGATGTGATTTCTTTATTTTGCTATCCCTTCTCAAGGAAAACGTGATGACGACAAGATTAGATTTTTAGGACCGGGTGATATTAGAAATGAAATATGGCATACAATTTCTGGATATTGTTTTAACTAATTAGTGACATTTAACTGGAAGTGCTGCCGTAAGATTGTGTTGAAACTTCACGATACTAAAACTTTAATTGATTTCAGGCAACAGCAGCTAAGAGTGTTTGCCCACTGATCCAAAGGTTGGCAGTTCAAATCCCACTCTCTACATAAACATTGTTGGTTAAGCAGTCAGATCCATGAACCCAACTCCCACAGATGAATGCTGTTGCTGTGTCCTTGGGCAAGACAGTTAACTCTCCGGTACACTAGTGTGTGAATGGGTGAGTGGTTCCTTGATGTAAAAGCGCTTTGAGTCTTGAAGGTGGCAAAGTGTTATACAAAAATGTGATTATTTACCATTTCTATACTGAGTTTGAGTACTTGATACAGATTTCAATACATCAGTTACATTAGGGTAGTAGAATAAAAATGTCAACACAAAATAAATATGTTTTCTTTTTGTTTTGCTGAAATCCAAGCAAAACAAGACCAAACCTGTAATTGTCACTTCGCAATTGCTTTGACCTTCAGTTTTAATATATCCTATAATTAGTGAGCTTTGTTAATGAGTTGGTGCTACTGATGTGATTCTCCTTTCAGTAAAGCACAACCAAGCTTGGCCTCTTGGGTTTTCCAGAATGGGCGTGCGAGAACAACCAACATATGGCGCTGCCATACACCGGTGTCTGCCAACAGTGTCAGATAAGGTCAGAACTGGAGGAGCAGTCAAGTGCGCAGAGTCCTTCCACAAGGTCAACAGTGAAACTAGAAATCTCCAGCTCTGATGCAAAATACAACAATCCATCTATTATCACTATAATTGTTGCCATTTTTCACCTCAACATGCGTCCAAGCACTTTCACAGCTATTATGATTTATATGAAGCAAGTACCTACAGAAACAGCTATGATTTGAGTGCTGTGCTTAGCTAAAATGCCACCTAAACTGTTTATGGTGTCTCAAGCTAATGGATTCCTTTGATAGCCTGCTGATATATTCAAATGGGCAGTGAATTTGATTTGCTTTGGCGCTACTGGGCAAACAAACTGGTAAATAATTAACAAAAAAAGATAAGACAGGATGCTGTAGATGCTTTAGCTGTTTGCCAGGTAAGCACTTTCACACGTGGGTGGAGGGGGGAGAGGAGGGAGAACAGATATCACAGACGCGTTATGGTAATGATCCATGCTTGGTTCCTGTATTCAAGCTTTTTACAGCTTTCAGCCTGATATGTTAATAGGCACAATGGGATTTGGCTTTGATTAAATGTCAATGCCTACAGGGCAAAAAACTGGGAAAAGAGGTGGTGAAAAACTGCTAATTTCCCTGAATGAGAGATGGGGCTGTTCTTAGCAAGGAGGACATTGGTAAGGTGTAGGATATAGGACAGTTAAGGTTGTGTGGTGTCCCAGTGGGTCTTAGCTTGACATGTTTGTGATTTACTTCATAAGGGTGGAGGCAGGAGTGGTTGGAGGGCCATTCTGTCCTTCTACAGAGGGTGCACTGTTGAGGGTCTGCTTCTAACACATAAGAGAGAATAGAGAGGATAAGCCTATTACAGCCCCTTTGATTTCAATAATTAGCAGTGAGTAACATCTAAAGCGCAGCTGCACAGGGAAATTAATTTGTAAGGTAGTCTAGTGGATAGCTTTTAAATGCTTTGTGCATTTGCATTAGTTAGCATGCACATATATTGAAAATGTAATAAAACATGCAACATAAAAGGAATATGTGAGAAGGTTGAGTCTGCTCAGTCTGCAGTGTTGAAGAAATCCATAGAAAAATGGTGACTATGCATATTAGAGTATTAATCAGTTCCATAGTTCCAATTTGTGTTTTTTTTGCACTATAATTTTTTCTTGAGAGAGTTTGCCACTTGCTTGTCTCTATGGAGATCTTATTGCTTTACCTTGAAGGTTCTACAGTGCAGCTTTAATAGTATATGTCTTTCATAATTTCATTAAACTGTTCCTGTGCCATAGTATTAAAGTGGGTAACTGATATTAAAGATTGAAATTGAAGTTAAGTTAAAGTAGGACTCACGTGCCCTTTGTGAGTGTTTAGCTTGAACTAGACGTAGAGTGTTGGCGCACCACTCAACGAATGTTGAGAAATATTACCAATACATTATAATACATTTTCTTAGTTAATTAATAAATTAATAATGAATTAAACAATTGTTCTGAAAGTTCGTAAATTCTCTATATCAGTGATCCATGTCTATAAACAGCATCACTATTCACCAAAGCAAACTGTGGTTTATGAATATTCATTGACCAAATTAAACAGACAGCATTTTAATATGAAATATGCAAATGAGATAAAACTTTAAGAGTTATCTAAGTATCTATCTAATTAATTAAGCCATTCTGTGAAGAATGTGCGTACGACCAGGAGAGTGGAGATGTTCGTCACAATGTGGTCCATT